CGTATCTAATGAATGGTGATGCCTTCCAAATAGTCCAGACCATCCCCAAACCCGGCGTTCAGCAGCCTGTTCCGCAAAGAATTCCAGAAAGGGGCACACCAGGTCAAGACCGTAGGGCCCGCGGACAATCAGTCTCCGCTGCTCCTCCTCGGAGACCTGGAAGGCGCGCTCCCACTGCCGGTTTGCTGAGTAAGCTGCACCTTCCTCCGCATCAACTTCCATGTCACCCAGATAGCGCGCAAGTGTCTCCGAGTGGAATGGAGTGAGGCCGCGATTTTATGCGCTTTTTGAGGGTTTTGATGAGGGGTGGAAAGAACTTGACGAGCTGTGCGTCATCGAGCATTTTTCTGCGCTGGCTCGACGTGAGCGCAGAGAGAGCGAGCGGTCGGGTGAAAAGATGGGCGGAGCTAGAATGCGGACCCGAGCTTTCGGCAAAATATCAAGTGACCTTTTGTGCAGAACGCAGACCACGGACCGGGTGATTAGCTGTTGACCCATTGGGCCACCCTTGGCTTAATATTATGATTAAATACAGGCCTCGTATCGTATTATAATCCTATCGTAATGTAACGTATCAGCCATAATTTTAAGAGCGTAATATTACGGGGCGGGGGTATTTAATCGTAATCCTAAGATTATAATAGATTATAATCGATTGTAACCGTAATCTTATCCAGCCTTATCGTGTACGTATCCCGAAGAACACGATCGAAGATGAGCTTCGTGGGAGGTAAGAAGAAGTGCGGGGAAAGGAGTAACAGATCATCTACGGGGCCATGGTTCAGAGCGGGTGCTATCTTCAAATACTCAGGTTGAGGGGACACAGAACCAACACGAGCGACCTGAAAGATGGGCGCAAACGAAATCCAGACCAAGAATGGGACCGGATACATGAAAACCAAAGCGAGAGAAGAGATGGATAGGGTGAATGGGAGCTGAGGTCTCGGAAAGGCCGAGTTGAACGAACGAGATCGGGGAGAGTCCGACTGGAGGAGGGAGATACCCATCCTGAGTCACGACGACACGGTCGAGGTGTGAGCCAGTCCGCAGAAACAACAAAACAGAACGAAACAACCACTGCCTTCCTCATTCAGACACGGGGGGTCGAATCCCAAACTACCTCAAGTACCTCATTGCCGCAATACAATGGGAGAAGATGTTCTGTACCATGTCTGATGATTTTCTATCCTCGTACACTCGGATTAAGGGGTGCAGCCCGGCTGGGCAGCCGGGCTTTAAGCTCCGTCTAGGGTTCCAATACCCCCAAAAATGAAAGCAACTCTCCATGAACCTGAATTACCTCGCCCCCGGCAAGAGAAATGAATTCGAAAGCAGTCATATCGCGGGCATTGTATGTCTGATTATACTCTAACCGACGAAGCTGGAATCCCTGTGAAAAAAATCAGTTGATATCGGGCTATTCGGACACGGGGAGTCGAACCCCAGAATGCCTCCTTACAAATGTACTATTCAGGGGCCCGGGGATAGTAAGAGGCGATGTTCCGTACACCATGTCCGACTGTTCTGGATGCCTTTGGACTCAGTTATACCAGCTCGTGTTCGACGCACGGCAAGAATCAACTCGCAAGTGGAACTGAACTCCCACCACGCTCCACCTCTCAAGCAATAAGTGAGAAAATAACCAAAAGCGCATCTAACTATCTCGCTCTCTAAATCCCCCGCTATTTTGGTGTCTATCAATTTAAAATCTAACCTCTAAATCTCCCTTACACCACCCTCTAAACTCCCCTCACCCCCTCACCCCCTCCATCCCGCCCCTCACCGCCCCAAACACGCCCACCCGCTCCCGCCTCTCCCCCTCCGCACCCGCCAGCGCCTCCTCCCACCACCTGTCGTCGCGCCACCCGCCCGCGTAAAAGGCCGTGAGTGCGGGGAGGGAGGCGCGCAGGGCGGCGGTGCGGGCCCAGTGTGCGGGGGCGGGGTGGGGGAGGTGGCTGTAGGCGAGGTCTGCGGGTGCGGGTTTTGAAGCGGCCGTAGAAGTGTCTTCTGCGGGAACAGGTACGGGGGTCGGCGCAGAGGCGGAGTCGGCGGTGGGGTCGGAGTTGGAGAGCTCAAGCGGCGCAGAGAACCCGTTCGCGGCGAGGACGACCGCGGGTGGGACGGTGCGCCGGCCGTGCTTGTAGCAGAGCTGCGCAACGGTTACGGCTGCATAATTATAGTTAGTAGGAGCATCAGGACGACAGCGATAACTGGATAACAGAAAAAAGGAGAAAGAGGAAGAGTGTGGACAGCACGGACGATGCACGAGTGGGTCGCAAGCAGCCCGTAAAGCGTATACAGCGGAGGGGAAGGATGGAAAAAGAGGAAGGGAGCGGATGAGGTCGCGCGGCATCGATCGCAATGCGGGGAATGGGCCGCGATGTCTGTCGCGCGAGTAAATAAACGCACGAACGAGGGAGTGTGCCAACTCCATCTGACGCTCGCGGAGTCTGCCTCCTGCCACCATCTACCGCGCCCTCGCCCTCAACCCTGTGCTCGCGCGCCCGATGTCGCATTCGCTCGCTCGCGAGCTGCGCTCGCTGTCGCTCAAACCTGCACGGGTCATTACGACGAGCCAACGGACGAGCCCTAGCGTGCGTGCATCATCTCGCGCGACCACCTCCATCTCACATTCACACCCCATCGGACCCCTCCTCGTGCTCATGCCTCGCAGTCCTCGGTCCACCTCGCTCTCCCGCAAACGCGTAAGCGTTAATGTTGTCGCTACGGACGAGCGGCTTCCCCCCCTCGCAGGAGAAAACGCGTACGGGCCATATCGCGCGGGCCTCGTTCGCCTAGGCACAAAGCACGTAGCGAAGCTCAGGGCATCCCAGCTCGGTCCCGCTTAAATAAACCTCTGCGCCCACGAGGGAGGCTGGTCGCGTGTTCGTCAACGAGGGAACGAGCTCCATCCCTCCCCGCAACACAAACCCATCAAAGAATCGAATAGAAAGCGAACATAACAGAAGAAACGGACGTACAATACAACACCGCTCCATCCGGCTCCGTCTGCGCCACCGCGCGCGCGAGGAGCGCCTGTGCCGTTGGGTCGCTCGCCATTACTTCGTCTATTGCAGGTGTCGGTACCTCCGAGGGAGTCCCGGATTTATCGGAGCGCGACTTGGACTTTGACTTGTTGGATTTATTGGAGGCAGGCCCGACAAAGCGCGAGACGACCCAGATCTGTGCGCGTTGGTCAGCATGTATTTATACCCACTCGGAGGACATGAAAGTAGTCACCCATTTATCGTCCCACGCGCCGACGCTCGCACGGACCTCGTAGCGCGCGAACATGGGGATCTCCCGGATGAAGTGGAAGTGCGTGGCTATACATATTCTTCATCAGAATTGTACTCCGGCAAACGAGTAAAGAAGCGAGAACGCACCAGCAAGCGGCGCCCACCCCCCGCACCTCAAGAAATTGGGGAAGGTGTTGAGGGCCATGCGCATCCGCGCGCGATCGAGCGCTTTGGGATAGCTCGAGTTACTCAGGTGCAGGAGGAAGTCGCAGTCGTCCGGGGCTGCGATATCATCTCCATCAGCAGCTATTCTTACACACTCGACGAAGTTTAGGGAAAAGACGCACTAGCCCGATTCTTATACGTCCACACCGCCCGGAACGGGTGCACACCCACGGGCATGCGTGATTCATACCACTTTTCCAGGGCTGCCGCCCGTTTTACCCGGCCAGAGAAGGCGTGCCGCAGGATGACGCCTGAGCGCGCGAGGAGCCATTCGGCAAGACAAGATAGGACCCGGACTGGAATGGAATTGTGTCAGTTCCATAGATAGGCAGAATTAGTCAAGAGAAGCCAGACATACCATGCCAGACAAGCGGCCACGAGCCGGCATTGAGTAGCAGCAGCAGCACTGCGAGGAGCTTGCCCGCTGTTGGCGCGAGCTGGAGGATCTGCGTGATTACGGTGAGCATCGTCGTGCGCGTTGGGAGTGCGACGGGAGGCAAGCGAGCAAGCGCCGTGGAAGCCATCTCTTTTAAGCCGATGAGCTGTACGCGTCGTCGTCGTTGTCGGTTGGGGTGCGGCTCCGGCTATGGCGAACGCCGGAACCGGTTCGTTGGGGCGGCTGTTTGCGCGTGCTTGGGATCCCGCCCCTCGGCTTCGCTCGGCATGTTCAGTTCCCGCTAGCTCGACGCGAAAGGAGTAGGTGAATACGAAGGGAAGGCGGAGTCATTGTTGCATGCCGAATAAACGGGCACTGGCTTCAATTTTCGCCAATTCTCCGCGGTGCCTTGATTTAGCCAAGCTAAACTTGCTGATTTCTTTAGTCACGGCGGGGCTCCCAAATTGGGATGTCGTGGCAGTCTGGCGCTGAGATTATGATTTCCCCAAAGTTTGAACCTCTTTCCATCATTATCATTACTCACTGGGCCGGGGTGTTAGTAAGAGACATTGATAATAAGCCGTTAGTAAGGGGCATTGATAATAAGTCTGCGTTTCCATGTGAAACCCCGTGGCGGGTGTTCCGGCGGCTTGGCACTGAGCTACCACCGTGTTCGTCCAATCCCAAAAAATCACCACTATAATCATTGACAACGTAATCCCGCGATTCACCCTACGTTTCCGGCATCCCCGCAGCTCATTTCGGAACGCTCGGTACGTCCGATCGTCTCAAGCAACCCAAATAATGAAAGAAAGAGCCCGGAAACGGAATCAGACACGGGGAGTAGAACCCCGGACTGCTGCGAAAAAGTCTCGATCTCTCGTTCTTTGAAGGACCGGGGCCGTGTGCCGTACAACATGTTAACACCATGTCTGATGATTTCACCTTCTACTCAGCCCACCATACTAGCATAAATGGAGCTAACAGCAGCCCTAGCAAAATTCTGAGCGGATGCATCGAACATAAACCTAGCCAGTACAATTGCAATTCTCGGCCTGGATGCATCGGGAAGGTTCCTTATTTCTGCCTGCGCTAGGGAGAGCCTGAGATGTGCAGGCCTTGGGTCTGCAGCGAGACAAAAAAGACTTTGGACCGGGCGATTCGAACACGGGGAGTCGAACCCCGGACTGCCTCATATTTGGTTTTTTGCCAAATTCCCAACTTTGAAGGCGGTGCTCCGTGCACCATGTCCGATTCTTCCGCCTTCTACTCGATGTCTTAACGCAGCGAATATCGAGGACGAGAGAAACATCCCACTTGAATGCGCGAGTCGCACCTCTCCAAATTTTCTAGGTGAATCTGAGGGGAGGCGGAGGACTTCATCTCATTCGGGCAGCATGTGAGTAAGTCCGGTTTGGATCAGAATGCGTGGCAGTATGCAAGGCCCAGGCGGTGTAAGCCCAAAAAAGCCATCACCTATCCAAGTTGTTCAGACGCAGAGAGTCGAACCCCGGACTGCCTCATAAATGGCTGCGTAAGCATTTAATAGACAGGATGTGCAAAAGCCGCATGGGCCGCATGCGGCTTCATGCGGCTTTTGGGCATTGTGCAAAGCCGCATCCGCAAAATTAGTTTTTGAGGGGCTTCAACACCATAGTTTTCGATAGAATACATGCAATTGAGGTATTTCGTAGTGTCTGGTGTAATGTGGCTTGGTGAGAGCCGCATCAATTCACTGCGTATTTGTGATGTCATTGCTCTTTCTTCTCGATCGACGATGTCGGAAGAGATTCAAATCCTGCTCGCAGCCAAAAGCTTTCATGAACTTCTGGATGACTTGCTCGATGCCCTCGATGCTGAGTGGCTCTCGCAGGTGGATGCCGGATGGTCGCATGCGTCCGGGTGGAAAGACTGATCTTGACATCACTCGGCCAGATATTCTTTGAACAGTTTCGGTACTTCCCATCTATGCAGTATAGTGGCTTCCGTCTCAGTGTGTCTAGATTTACCTATTCAGAAGTCCAACAGCTGGTCATATGCCTTGATCTACCTGAAGAGTTTGTGTGTCCGCAGACTCGGATCAAGGAAGACGCTTTCACTGCACTGTGCATGCTTTTCCGTCGCCTCGCCTATCCTACCCGACACTGCGGTGCAAGGTTTCGGCTCTGAAAACATGCTTATGGGTAGAATAGTTCGGTTCAAGCTATAAAATACAAAAGATTCCGTACGGTTTTGCACAATGGCCAAAAGCCGCATGCGGCTCGTGCACATCCTCTCTAATTTCTGAGGCCGTGTTCCGTATACCATGTCTGACCGAGGACCCTTGAGTTGAAGCCCGTCATCCTGCTAGCCAAATTTGGTCTCGCTGCGAGTTTATATGGGCTGGGGATTGTGAACACAGGTGGGAGGGAAATTCGGACTCATAGCATACATAGGCTACAATTTACTGTGAACCGTAAGCCCCGAGTGCCAGTAGAGGCATAAAAAAACGTTGACGACCCCACGTCCATTCAGACACGCGGAGTCGAACCCCGAACTGCCTCATACACTGCCAAGTCTACAACTTCGGAGGCGGTGTACCATACACCATATCTGACTGAAAACTCTTCGTTTGAATCCGCTTCATACCACCATCTAAATCAGGTCTGAACATCACATAATTGTCAATGAAGTTTGGGGTGGAGGAAAAATGGGAATCGGGGCATGAAATTAGCCGGCTTGTCAGTCAGGTGGATACTGGGCGACCGTCCTCGGATGACGAAAAAATGCATGGACAGCCTTGAGTTCAGACACAGGGGGTCGAGCCCCGGACTGCCTCACGCACCTCATGAGCGGAGCATTCGAGACTGTGTTCCGTACACCATGTCTGACTGAGAACCCATAATTTGAAGTTCTCGATCCCAGCATCTAAAAGTCGGGTCCCACGGTCAATTTTGTCGGGTTCGGAAATCAGAAATGCTGGAGGGATGGAAAGTCGAATGCGGAGCATGGATTCACCTTTATTTTGAGGCCAGCAAACGGCATAAAAAATACCAACGCAAGCGCTCACTTCAGACACGGGAAGTCGAACACCGGATTGCCTCGTAAGCCCAAGCACATTTTACATATGGATGTCTGACTGAAAACTCATCCGTTAGAAGCTCTTTATCCGATATCATCTAAATGAAGTCCTATCGTCAGTGTCTGTAAGTTGAAATATACTGGGAGACTCGGAGCACCGGCAGACAGTAAAGCTCGCTGAGTATTTGGTTCAGACACGGGGAGTCGAACCTCGGAATGCCTCGGCACAATCGACCCGCACTTACACGGCGAGGCTCTGTTCCGTTACGATAAGACATGGAACGAGTCCACTCGTGGGTAACTCGGATCCGTGCCCACGAGTACCCACATTCACAAAGGGTGAACTCAGATCCGTGTTGATTTGGCCAGCGGGCCAAACAGGTACTTGCGGGTTTTGAAACCAGATGTTCTACCTGAAATATAGTTCTGTAATAGTGCTCAACTTAGTGTGTGATCACTGAGCAGTCCTTTGAAGACATTTTGAAGCTCTGAATGCTGCTGAAAAAAACTCAAATACCTGCGGGTTTGGAAAAAAAAATGACAACAACCCAACCCCGGATACGACCCGCGAGTCGGGTTTCTCGCGAGTATTCCCACGGGTCCACCCACAGTTACTCGCAGGTGACCCGGACTCATTCCATGCCTTAGTTCTGTACACCATATCTGACTGAAAACCTTCCTTTTGAGACTCTTTATCCCAGTGTCTCACACCAGGACCCAGAACACCACCACCACCAGTGTTTGTCAGACCGCTCCATCGATCGTCCCTTGCTGTCGTATCGTGCCCCAATGTGTCGTTTGTTCTGGAACTTGCCTTGGCTCTCCATTATGCCCTAATACATGTTTAATATGCCCGCCCTAACTATAGTTCCTGTTTCGCTGATTTAAGTTGGGTCATTCGCATTGAGAATTAACAAACTTCGCTATCTGCTATCACTCAGATATATTCCAAAAACATTGTCCACAACATCAGTAATCTATTACTGACTTACACCCGCAAAGGGCTAAATCCCAACAGTGCCAAAACATATAAATCCACATCCCAGGCTGTGGATCCTTCCCCTTTCCCATCATCACTCATGACATTGGTAATCTATTACTGACTTACACCTGCAAAATGCTAAATCCTAACAGTGCCAGAACATATAAAATCCATATCCCAGGCTGTGTATCCTTCCCCTTTCCCATCCTCAGGATGCCCCACAAACCTACCATTATCGATATCCACCTTGACAGCATAGCAGCCTGCTTGAATGCCATTTTCCCGGTCCTGGATGAGCTCCACGATAGTTTTGAAACTCCTTTCATTCAGGCCATTTCAAACACAACCCTCAATCTAATTTCTGCAGTGCAGGTAATAGGGAAGAGTACCTCATACCCCCCACACTGACTGAGCCTTCCAGAATGTGAAAAACAACAAGGATGATTGTGTACAGCTTGTGCAAAACATCCATGGAATTCTGTTTGCTATTGTCAAGCTTCGTATGCAATCTGGGCCTCAAGGGTCCCTTCCGCCTTCAACTGTAGATCATATTGGGAAGTTCACAAAGTGGGTTTCCCCAATCCCTAGGATGGTTTGAGATTCAGCAAGGATTAGCACTCTGCACAGGATACATACATTTGTAGAAGGGCAGCAAGAGAAGACCAGGTTCAAACTCTTCCTTCGGCAAAGTAAGATGAGGATGCTCCTCAAAGATTGTCACGCCGGATTACAGCAGGCTCAGCAGGTGTTCAAAGTATGTCTTATATTGATGTCCCATTGAGCTCATATGAATTCCAGGCGAAATTAGATTGAGACCGGGGCCACAGTGTTGGCAGATGCACTCAAAATCCAAGAAAAGACAGAGAAGCTACATGAGGAACTCCTCGGCTTGATTTCGAACATGACTGAGGGAAGTTCAGACAGGTCATCCTCTGTATGTCAATGACCTATGCCTGTTCCAAGAGCTCATTATTTCTGAATCAGATATACCACAGTATAATTGGCTCGCAAAATAGGTACTGGAATTCCTCGCAGATCCGACATGCTAGTTGATTGTCTGTGCAAGCTCAATTTCTTTTGGGTTGCTGCCGGCTAAACCAAAGATTTTCCATGGGCGTGAATCAGAAATCCATCAAATTGTTCAAACTTTCAACCATAAAGAAGCACCCAGGGTAGCAATTCTTGGGACTGGTGGAATCGGCAAAACGAGCCTTGCCAAAGCTGCACTCCATCATCCAGACATCAGTGCAAAGTATGAAAGCAGGTTGTTTGTGGCCTGTGATTCAGCTACCACCAGCATTGAAATGGCAGGCTTGGTTGGATCCAATATAGGATTGAAGCCAGGGAGGGACCTTACCAAGCCTGTGGTTCAACATTTTGCCCGAGGACCATCATCTCTGTTGGTCTTGGATAATCTGGAAACACCATGGGAGAACATCGAGCCTCGTGGTGGGGTTGAAGAGTTTTTGTCCCTCCTTACCGACGTGCAACATCTTGCACTGATAGTAAGCATATCCCAATATTGTGATTCAGTTGTAATGTTGACAACTTGACCAGATAACAGTGCGGGGTGCAGAGTATCCAGCCAAGGTTCGCTGGACCCGCCCATTGCTGCCAGCTTTGAGGCCCCTATCCAATGATGCAGCTCTGCAAACCTTCATTGACATCACAGACAATGCCCATGATAGCCATGAAATCACTCAACTTCTTGAGATTACAGATAACCTGCCTTTGGCAGTGGATCTTCTGGCTCATTTAGTTGACGATGAAGGTGGTTCCAGTGTCCTGGCTCGCTGGGAAACAGAGAAGACATACATGCTTTCTGAAGGCCATGACAAAAGTTCAAACTTGAGTTCATCTATTGCCATTTCACTTTCCAGTCTATGAATGACCTCTGGAGCCAAAGGACTATTAAGTCTTCTCTCAATCCTTCCAGATGGGCTTTCAAATTTAGAGCTCATCCACAGTAACCTCCCCATCCCTGATATCCTCACATGCAAAGCTGTGTTACTTCAAACCTCTCTGGCATACAGCGATAACACACGACTTAAGGTGCTGGTTCCTATCCGGGGGCACATGCAGCATGTACATCCACCGTCACCCTCCCTGGTCCGACCTCTTCGAAAGCACTTTCATTCGCTCCTTGATTGGTACTGGAACCATTTCAGAGTGCAGCTAAATGGGATAGCTGATCAAATAAATTCTAATCTTC